GTAGACCATTTGTTAGATTGCGCTAGTCACAAAGATGTCCAGTCACCGTGCAAAAACGAAGAACCGGGCCAGCATGGACGTACGAACAAGACCTGTACTAATCAGATGTCTTGGATTCCACCAAGCTTCCACGTAGTGTATGTCGTCGCCGACGCTGGCTTCTGTGGCAACTCAAGGCCTTCCAAAACGCAATCCAGCGTTGTGGCTGCTTGCTTCATCGAGCAGCACTCGAGCAACATACTCTTCGCGCAAATGGAGTGGCGTCCCGCAGTGTGCGCTGGGCGTCGGAGCCCAAATTCTGACGCATGTACCGAGAGATTTGAGAGATTCGGTCGCTTTTATGCACGCAATGTATTTCAGCAGTACAAGTACAATTGTACGAGAAACAGTACCACGACGGGCGTGGGCGTAGAGGCCAGAAGACGCTACTGGCCTCCGACCTTGCAACCTCGACAAGTGGTCAGAATTGGAAGGCCGCGAAATTGCACTTGGATCGAGACACGTCGCGACGAATCCTCCCATTGCGCGAGGTGGACGGGGTGAACAAGAAGGGACTCTATAGATTACACTAACTACACAAGAATGTGCTTCTCACAGGATGAGGCGCTTGGATGTAAACGGCACGGGCGTCGAGCCCGACCGCGTCCGCGCCGAAGCGGGTGACGTGCCCGTTGTTGTCGTCGACTCGGTGCGCTGGGGACCGTACGCGAGGAGTGTCGGGACGGCGAGGAACTTTCGCAGCGCCGAGTGCACCACCTTTTGGTTGGCGCGGCAGAGCAGCGGATGCGACTGTGCGAGGTCGATGAGGTCCCGGAGAAAGTTGGAGAGGTCGGTGGCTCGGACGTCCGGGCGGCGGTCGCGGCGAAACCACGCTTTCGCCGGGAAGTGGCAGGCCTTGAGGCTGCTCAAGAAGCCTGCGCACGTCTTGTTGGTGCAGTGGCAGTAGTAGGACATGTCCTTGAGGAAGAGCCGTCGTAGCTGGTGCACGTCGCGGTACCGCCGCAAGATCACAATCGCGTCACCAGTGCGCGCGTCGCAAACCTCGACCTTGTAATAGACAACGCCGGCCTCGACAACATAGTCCATAATGTGAACCGAGAGGTCTTGGAGGTTCACGGCAAAGCGCTTGTCCTGCATCGGCGTCGGGAGCACTTCGAGGATGACCATGGTGGCGCCCAGCAAAATCAAAACTGCAACGTCAGCCGCGATCTCGCCGGCCACTTTCTTGCCGGATACCATTTCGCTCCTGAAGCAAGTCCAGTGGCATGGATACGAGGCGACCATCAAGTGGGAGGAAAGAGTTGTCGCCACACGTTCTAGGGCCAGCGCCACACGCCGCGACGCCGTCGGAGACGACAGCGCTTGGAAGCAGCGTGGGATGTGCAGACCGTTGCCGCGCCATTCTCTGCGCATACGAAGCATTCTCTACCGCGACGACAGCAACGGCAAGTGCAACAGAGTCGAAGCGCCCGAGATATTTTGCAAGAGTCAAAATTTCTGGTCTCTAATCACAAAGCGAAGAAGACGTGGTTCTTACGTCCTACAACACTGGGAATACGAGATACGACTACAAATCGGTCCGCGCGCTTTGCATTTCCAAGTGGACCTCGCTCGCATTCGCATAGCTCGTGATTTGACGCGAAAAGATGTCCTGGAAGGGGCCCATGAGGCGCTCAAACGTCGCCACGTCCATCGACAAGCACGTGACGTCGGTCGCTGCGACAACGCTCACCGCACGCTTGGACTTTTCCGTGAGTGCCTACCGTTTTGGCAATACAGACGACGTTGGCGACTAAGAAACGCACCTTCTCGCCAAAGTAGCCGCAGGGCCCGACCGAGCCAACGACCGAGCTCTTGCCATCGCCGTCCGTATAGACAAAGTTGCACTCGCCATCCATAACGATGTAGAAGTGGAACGCATTGTAGTCCTCGTCGTCTTGACGAATGATGACGTCGCTGGCGCGGTACGCGGCGGGCTGGAGCGCGTCTGCGATGACCGATACCTCGGCGTTCGTCAAGTGCGACATGAGCTCCATGCCCACGAGCAGCGACTCGTATTTCTAGCAACGTGGCATCGGTGACGCGTGGGGTGCATAGAAAGAAGAATGTCCTACCTGCGATCGCAACTTGCTCGCTGTGACGATGATGCGACGAAAGGTGTCGCGGTCCAGTGCCCAAAGAACAGCGTCTGCTGTCGCGACGACTGTGGCCGCGCGCGGGCTGTTGTACATGAGAGCCAGCTCGCCAAACGTGTTGCCTTTCGTGTAGTGGAAGACGGGCTCTTGTGGACTCTTGTGCGTAAAGACATCGAATTCGCCCTCGTCAACCACATAGAAGAAGTCGCCTTCGTCGCCCTGCGCATCGTTCGTTGCATAGGAGAATCGATTTAGTCCAGTAGTACCAGCTTGATGATGGCGTCGCCAAGGCGTACGACCTTTTCCTCCATGGCGCCGATGACGTCGCGCTGCTGCTCCGTGTCGAGAGAATTGAACATGAAATTGCCCGCGACCGCCCGCTTGATGCGCTCGATAGCGTCGTCGGACTTGGGTACGAACTTCTTCGAGCTCGTCTTTGCATCCTGCAGACTCCCCGAGCTATTGAGCGGTAAACCTCGCCGCCCAACGACCGCAGATGGGCGTACCTCACGGACGGCCGACGGCCGCGGCTCTGCGCCATGGCCCTCCGCTTCCTCTCCTCCGGGTCGTCCTCGGCAGCAGCAGCCAGGGTCGCGACCGGCGGCGGCGGCGCTAGCTTGGAGGGAACCTTCATCGGAGCCGACGGGAAGCAGCAGCAGAGCAAGCGCCAGCACTCCATAGCTGAATCGCTCAATCCAAAGTACGTTTCGGCGGCCACCGGACGATCTTCCGTTGGTTTGGTGATTGGCCAAAAGTCAAGTCAATTTCTATCCAAATCTCTGACCAATCACAGAGCCCGAATAGAACCAATCGCCCAGTCATGAGGCAGCACCACCGTTTCTCTGACTCGAGAGACACCGGGATGACGGACTTGTTGAGTGCCGACCAAGACACTGGGCGCAAGACATCCTACCACTAGAATATCGGCAGATCGGTACTGTGATGGGTGGTCGCTCGCTCGTCGTCGTTGTAGCAAGAAGTACTATAGTCCTCTAGGCCGGGCGTCAAAATGCGCAATAGCTAATGACGACGCGGCGGCTCGGCAACTTGAAATATGCCGCATTTGTGCAAAAAATAAGACAAGAATAAGGCGTTAATGCGGCGTGCATAAAACAACCATTTCGGCCGCAAAGTCTCTCCACCCTTCACAATTTCCGACGTGATCCGCGCCAATTGATTGAGGTGGAGAGACTTTTTAGGTTAGGACGAACTATTATATAATATATTCGAGATCATAGCTGCTGTGAGACCATGAAGGGCATTACGATCGACGACCATCGTCCGAATAGATTGATTCACGCAACCGGAATCAATCCTGCGACACAAACGTAGTGTAGTAGCAAGACGGCTTGCACGTAGTCCAAGGCCATCGTACTAGTAGTAGAAAAGAATAATGTCTGCTCGCCTCGTCATCAAGTTCTAATGCCTCCGTTATTTGGTGGATTTATTGGCAAGATGGCTGAGCGCGCGGGACAGTCCGGTATCGCCGGCCTCCAGCCACCTAGCAAACCACAATACACTCGATCGCACAGGACAAAATTAGAGCTTTGATTTATCAACGGGTACCAATGAAGGCGATGGTCTCAATGGTTCGGTACGCATTCTCTGATTCGACTCTACTTGGAGTATTGCAAGAGCGTCCACTGCTGGTTGGGGTTGTTGGGCGTGCACTCCCACACTTGCGCGTGCGCGTCGGCGTACGTCGGGTCGGCGTCCAAACAAATGTTGTTGTGCGTCGCGTGCTTGACGACGTTGTTGGCGATGGTCCACTTTTGATTGCCGTTGTTGCTGTCGCACGCGTACGTATGGAGCTTGAACTGGCCGTTGCCGTCCTTGTACACGTCGAGGCACTGGCCGTTGGACGCGCTCTTGAGAAGACCGTTGCCCCACTCGAAGAGGTCGTTGAAGTCGTGGCCACCCGGGTTGAGGTACAAGTCGCCGTTGTACTCGAGGAGGTGCTTGCCCGTCGCGGCGCGAAGTTGGACGTAGCTCTTGGGCACACGTTCGCACGCGTCAAACCACTGGTTCGTTTCAGACGCGCCAGAGCATGGCGCGACGCCGACGGCAGCGCCCGGGTGGCCAAGGTCCGCCTCGAGGCACACGCCGTGCACCGCATGCTGCACCTTGTGGTTGGCGATTGTCCACTTCTGGTTGGCGTTCTTGCTGTCGCACGCGTACGTGTGAAGCTTGAACTGGTTGTTGTCCTTATAAACGTCGAGGCATTGGCCGTTACTCTTGGCGATGATGGCCTTGGTCTCGTTGTTGTACGCAAACTGCTCGTTGGCGTTGCTCTGGACCGTGTTGGCGTAGAGCAAGCCATAGCCCTCCGAGACGGCGAGGCGGTTCGGCGTGCACAACGTCGTGGTCTGGTCCGTGGGGCACGCGAGCTCCTTGGACGGGTTGACGCTCCAGCCCTTCCAGACCCAGAAGATGCAGTCGGACGCCGGCGCGAGCGACTTGAGCTTGGCGCACCCAGCCCACGCGTTGCCACAGTACTTGTCGCGACCCGCGCCGTCCTTGATCGTCGGGATGAACGCCTTCATGTCGTCGATACCGGCAGACTTCTGGCACTCGGCGACGGCGTCCATTAGCTGCTGCGAGCACGTATTCTGGAACTGGGCGAGCGACGATGTCGCAGCAAAGGCGACGAGACCGGCGGGCACAAAGAGCTTCATCGTGATGGGATTGAGAGAGAGGGAATTGAAAAATGAATCGTTGTATCTTGCGTGTTGCAGGGCTGCACTTTCCAGGACACAGGCAGCAACACCAAGGGCGGAATGGACCAAAAGGGGTAGGGCTGCATAGCTGTCGTGTGTGCAACCGTACGGTTGGCATACTCTTGCCAGGACTGCGCGTTGCTATCTGTCGAGTAATCACGTCTGCATGCAGTGCAGTGAGCTGCGATGGAGAGGGCAACCAGTAATGCTAGTATTATCTTTGGCTATAGCGTATTATTGTGTAGCCGAGTACTTTATCGGACAATGAGCACTTCGAAACGTACGGCGCGCAGGCTACTACATGCGATGTAACAGGCACACGCTGGGCAACTACAGTACCGGGTGGGATTGCACATGTCTACAAATGGGACGGTTGGAATGGAAACGAACACAACGCCCGAGAGAGTATGCCAAGACATTAGTAGAAAGCAAGTGAGGAGAAAGACCCTCGTAGTAGCTGTGATCTACCGGTACTCGAGCTTTTGGTTTAATGCAGTTTGTGTACCTTCCTACTTCCTTGTGAACCGACCACTGCATCGCCAGCGGACAGAAATGTTGGTGCGCTGCATAGCCTCAATCATCCACTTGCAGTTCGTACTAGTACCGGTACGGGCGCCGCCACGGTTTCCAATTTTGTGTGCACGCACAACTTTGGGGACGGAGTTCGATGGCGTATCTCATCGAGCATTTTTCAGCTCATTTCATCATCCATCTCGTCTGAATCTTCGTTGCCTGCGAGCTCACGACCTGCACGATGGTGGTGTCATTGATGCGTATTTCTGTCGTGCGAGGCGTACATGCGCCGCAAAACCTCACACACAAATCACATGGGTCTCCAGGCTTGTGAAAAGGAAAGAGCGCAGGCCTAGCTTCTATTTTTTCAAATGGGTCGTCTATCAAAATAAATAAATCTACCCTAAATGAAAATGCCTGACTTCTGCTGCGTTGTACACACTGAGTTGAAGAACGTGATCTAGGCGGACGGAGACGGAAGCGCGACCCGCGGGATAAGGTGCCGGCGCGGCCACTCGTGTTGAGCCGGAGAAGCCGAAGAAGATATCGGGTTGTTCGGGCTCTTCAATGAGGCTGTGGTGCAAATGCAGCTAAGCGACAAGCGCGCTTTAACGGCAACCATCCATGGACTTGGCAGTGGTAGGTCTTCGCGGAAGACGTGATCGTCCCGGACTCGTCAGGCGTTGAACC